CTTGAGGATTTTTACTTCTCTGTTTGTTGAGGAAATTGGCCATTATTTCTCTTTTTTTGGTTGGCTCTTTCTCTAGTTTTGATGTCAGGAAAATGCTTGATTCCTGTAATAACTGGGGAGTATTGCTTCTCTTTCAATTTTATTGAAAAGTTTGAGAAGTAGTACATTAGATCTTTTCTAAAGTTCTTGTAGAATTCAGCAGTGAATCAGTCAAGACCTGGGCTTTTCTTTTTTTTTTTTTTTTCTTATTTTATTTAAGAGGAAAAAGAGAAAAACACAAAACAAAACAAAGTGGTGTAAGGTTACACATAATACAGAACTACAAAAAAAAACATAACAGTAAGAAATCACCTATTGGTCTTCTTCTTCTTCCTCTTCTTCCTCTTCTTCTCCTTCTCCTTCTTCTTCTTCATTGACTGCCATTAGGTTATTTAGAATTTTTATGTCTTCTTGATTTAGCTTTGGTAATTCATATGTATCTAGGAATCTGTCTATTTCTTTGGGGTTTTCCATCTTATTGGAGTACAAGTTCTCAAATATGGTACTGATGATCTGGATTTCTGCAGGATCCCCTGAAATTCTCCCTTTTTATTCCTAATTGCATGGATTTGGATCATTCCTTTCTTTTTTTAAAAATAAGGTTTGCTAAAGATTTGACTATTTCATTTAATCCTTCAAACAACTAACTATTTGATTATTTGTATTGTTTTCTTAGTCTCCACTGCATTAATTTCTGCTTTGATCTTTATACTTTCCTCTATTATATATACTTTGGGTTTAATTTGCTCCTCTTTTTTTCTAAAATCTTGAGAGTCAACATTAGGTTATTTATTTGAGCTTGCTCTGATTTTCTGATGTGGAACTTCACAGCTATAAATTTCCCTTGTAGGACCACTTTCATTGTGTCCCGTGGGTTTTGTTATGTGATGCTGATATTATACTTTAATTTCATTTATGACCCATTCAGGAAGGGGTTATTTAATTTCTGTATGTTTATGTATTTTTTGTGGTTTCTTTTGCTATTGATTTCCAATTTTATTTCACTCTGATCAGATGATATGCAAAGAATAATTTCAGTTCCTTTACCTTTACATAAGCATGTTCAATGAGCCAGTATATGGTCTTCTGGAGAAAGTCCCTTGTGCAGCTTCCTTGTGAGAAGAGTGTGTATTCCGTTGACGTTAGATGGAACACGCTGTAGACATCTACTAAATCCACTTGTCCATTTGCTTCAGCTCTGATACATCTTTGTTGACTTCTTGTCTACTTGATCTATTTGTGACAGTGGCTATTGAGTCCTCTATTACAATTATATTAGCACTTATGTGATTCTTCAAATCCATTAGTGCTTGTTTTATATAGTTGGATGCCAGTATTTGGTGCATGTTTATTTATGGTGGTTATGTCTTCCTCTTGGATTGTTCCCTTAACAAGTATGTAGTGACCTTCTTGGTCTCTTCTGATTAGCCTGATTGGCCTGAAGTTCACTTTGTCTGCAAAAAGAATAGCTACCTCTGTTTTCTTTCCAGTTGCTGTCACATGTACTATTGTTTTCCATCATTTGACTTTCAGTCTATGAATTTCTTTTTGAGTTGAATACGTTTCTTATATGTAGCATATTGTTGGATCATGTTTCTTGATCTATTCTGCCAGTCTGTTTCTTTTGATTGATGAACTAAGATCTTTCACATTGATGGTTATAACTGATATATATTAGTTTATCCTTGTCATATTATTTTCCTGTTGTTGGTTACTTTTATTTTTTTGGTACCAGTGATCGAACTCATGATCTTGTGCTTGCAAAGCAGGTGCTTATGCCACTGAGCTAAATCCCCAGCCCTTGTTGGTTCCTTTTCTTTCTCTTCTATTTAATTGTTTGCCTTGCCTGCTGGTTTCATTCTGTTTGGATTCTTGGAATTGTTTTCACTGTCTTTTTTCTAGAATATCCTTCAGAACCATTTGGAGCACTGATCATGAATTTCTTTAGTTGTTCTTTATCATGAAAGTATCTTATTTCTCCATAAACTTTAAAAGATAAATTTTCAGAGTAATCAATCTGGGTTGGAGGCTGATTTCTTTTAGAGCTTGAAATACTTCACCCCAGGATCCCCTTGACTTAAGGGTTTATGTTGAGCAATCTGCTGTGCTCTGATTCTAATGGGTTTTCCTTTATATGCGACCTATTTCTTTTCCCTAACAGCTTTTAACATTCTGCTCTTGTGTTAAATTTCTAGAATTTTGACTATTATATACCTTGGTATAGTTCTTTTGTAAATCATGGCTGTAGACCTTAACTATCTGTATGTCAAATTTTTTTATATGGTTTAGAAGTTTTCTTGTATTACTCTTGTGAACAGGTTTTTTTTTCCTTATATATATATACCTTTTGTGCTATTTTCTGATTCTTCATTGAGTCTATTTAAGCTTATATTAATCTTCTTTGCATCATCTAGCAGCTGTTGAATTGACCTTTTGTGGTCCCTTGCTACTTTTAATAATCCTTTCATTTGATGATCGCCAACAATAACCTTATCTTCTAAATCTGATATTCTGTCTTCACGTTGATTGACTGCTGCATATACTTTCTGTAGAATTTTTAATGTCCTGCATTTTTATTTGTCTCTATTTTACAGAATCTAGTTATCTCTGTCTTTTTTTGTAATGGATCGAATTCACGCCGCCACACCTGTCAGGCAGGTACTTATGCCATTGAGCTAAATCCCTGGCTCTGTAGTTCTTTTCTGTGTGGGGCATTTGGGGTTTCCATTTCTTTCTTAAACTCCTCTATTTTAAAAGTATCTATACTCTAGATTCACCAACCATTTCCTTCATTATGATCATCATCTCTTTATCTGTTTTAGTTTTATCGAGAGATTTATTCATCTGTTTTGTTACTTCCACTGCTGCCCTTTCATAAAATCCAGCTGGGTGACTTTTGATTTCCTTTCGCCTCATTGTCCCCTTAATTTGCCTCGGGTGAGTCAAAGGCTGTGGATTGGCGTCTTGCTTCTGTGTTTTGACATTTCCTTTTTTCTTTACTTGTTTTCTACATTAAGACTTATAAATTGCTTATGGTAGCCAGCTTTGTTACTACTATTGAGGGCTCTTCAGGAAATGACTACTTTACAGAGATGTCTTCTGGGTGTAGCTGGCTTTATGAGTCTGTCTCAGGATCTTGCCTCTTCCATGGGTTAGGGATATGGGGTTGCTGCCTGCTTGGCCTAGGACCCAGTTCTTTGGTACTGACTGTGGTACTGTTCATGACTGCTAGAGAATCTAGGTATTGGCATACAAGGAGAATCGACTGATTACAACTGTGTCACCTTGGTCAAAGTAGTACTGTCAGTAAGAACAGCGTCAAACACAGGACTGGAAAATAACAAACTGTGGTAACTATTCATCTGCTGCCTTTAACCACAGGTGTAAGATTTATAAAAGAAGGGAAAGAGATTAGAAGCAAGACTGCAGGATAAACGAAGATTATCCGGGCTGCAGTGCGTTTCTCCCTGGAGGCCTCCGGCCAGCGTCTCTGCTCTCTGGATTTAGTCTTCCTTTCTCTCACCAGGAGCCAGGAGCCAGGCAGAAAGCGCAGATGGTTCCTTCCTTTTACTGCATGGCACTGTCTCTTCACTTTCTCTAGTTCCAGGAAAGTGGCTGTGATTTTCTTTTGGTTTTGAATAGTGTCTTTTCATTATGACATTCCCTTGATAAAGTGATCAAGCCACTAGCCTCCGGTGGTACCTGGGACTGTATCTGTATAACTAGCAAATTAAAGTGAGAATTCTCTTTGATCACACTAACCACGATTTAGTTGCTCAGAAGGCACATGGGACCAGTGGCTACTGTATCAGATGGCACAGATTTCCCGCACAGCAGAACACTCTATTTCAGCACGGCACCAAGTTTTGTGTAGAGATGGGGTGGCTCAACTTTTGGATTTGGTTCACTTTTCTCATGGTATTGTGTAACTTCCTCTAATAATCTCTGTATTTGCAGTATATTGAAAGTTACATACACACACTTCGACTTTATTACAAGAGTGTCTCATAGGTGACTTTGCATCTTTTCTACATTACAAAAAACTGAGAGTGATGGGGGCTGGGGATTTAGCTCAGAGGCATAAGCGCCTGCCTTGGAAGTGTGTGGTCCTGAGTTCGATCCCTGGTACCGATTTAAAAAAAAAAAAGAAGTACCAGGATAAAAAATTTAGGGGCTGGGGGTTTAGCTCAGCGGCACAAGCGCCTGCCTTGCAAGCAGGCAGTTGTGAGTTCGATCCCCGGTACCGATAAAAACGAAAAAGACAAAAAACAAAACAAAACAAAAAAAAAAATCCCGAGAGTGGGCCATTAGGTTTTTAACCATGGTTGTAACTGTTGATCTTGTATTAGAGGCAAAACCCCAATTTGAGGCTATTTCAGGAGAGAAGTGAGCAAGCAGAATTGGAAGCACTGAATAAAGACCATTCGGGAAGGGCGGTCAGAATGGGGCGTTGCATGGGTGAGGACGTGAAGCGCCTGACCCCCATGCAGCATGTGCCCTTTCATTGCTGTGTGCAGTTCTCTGGCTGTCATTTCTTCCTGCGGGCTTTCACTCTGTAGCCTCTTCCTGCTCATTTCCTACTGGCTTCTAACACGCCACAGGTTCAGGCACCTGCTACTAAACTCACTGAATTGCAAAAGAAAACAAAAGCCCCATTTCAGTGATCCCAAGTGGGAAGTAACCTGGCACCTAGAACGGCTGGGACCGGCTGCTATCGGGGCTCTGGCTCTCTGTCTTGGTGTTTTGCATTGCTCTCTTCCTCTCTCACTCACAGTTCTTCTGCCTCTGTCATGGTGAGGGGCACATGGCCATGCTGGCCCCGGGGACCTGGATTTATATCCCCACAGTGTGGCTCCCACTTCAGCAGCAAAGAGCCTGAACCTGTCAACATTTCCTGGATTGAACTCATGGGAAGAGGAATGTGATTGGCCGGGCTGAGGGTCGAGGAGGTCTGACCTCCCCTGGGATTGGCTGACCTTGCAGCCTTCCCTGCTGCCGCCTCCACAGCTGCTCCCAGGAGAGGCCTGTAGGACAGGAGAAATGTGTGGCCAAGGCAGGCTTTAAAGAGGGCTTTGGGAGCTAAGGGACAGTGGTTGGAATTTTCATTCCTGAGGCTATTTTAATTGTGGGTAATACAGACAGCAGTAGCATCTAAGTGAAGTGCTTTAACTGTAAGTTACAAATTTTTTAATGTTTAACTTTGTGCTTATTTGCTAGATTCTATTTATAATAAAATCTCAACAAATATTTGTAAAATGAGTGACTTTTAAAATGATAGATAAGGGTTGCTTTTTGATTATCAGTTTTATTTAACTTTTGTATTTTTGGTTCAAAAAGAGAATGGCTATACTTCAGAGGGCTCTATATATGGGGAAAAGAATCAGAATTTCACAAATGCTTCCAAACAGATCAGCATTCAAATTCATTTACCTGTTCCCATGAACTGAAAGTGTAGACTGTCTGTGCATTCTGCTCCTGGGAGTTGAAGTTATTTCAGAATTTTAAAACTTTTATTCAACATAAATATATTGGGTATATTTATTTATTTACGAGTATTAGTATTCCCTAAAGCCAAAATGCACAATTGCTACCAATTTAATAAATATCTTGAGCTTGGATGGAACTCATTTGAAGAGCAAAATGTTGCCTTAATGCCAGCATGTCCTTTTAATGTGTTTGGATCCAGATGTTTGGCCTCATTTGCTGGAGTGGATGCAGCACTAGCCTGTCAGCCCCCTGCTGTTTGCTGTTATTTAGGAGTGTCACAGGCTCCAAGCTTGTGTGCTTCTTAGGAAAGCTTGAAGAAGTGCTTTCAATTGAGAAAGATACCAAGCTGTGGTCCCTGTCCAGAACATTGAGGCTAAAAACAAAATGAAGTGACTATAAATAAAGCATGATAATCTTAATATTAAAAAGTAGTCACCATTGCTCAGTGCAGTCTTTGTTGTATGTGATTTTTGTTTTAGCTATCAGTGGAGGTCTGGAAGCATATAATCAAATCTTCACCAAGGGCTCTGCTGCCCTTCTAAGGAGCATCCACAAACATTATTCCACAATGCAAATTCTGAGCAGTGACAAGAGAACACAAGCTGTGTCCCTAAGGTAATGGGGACCACACAATTGTTCTTGTAAATCCTTGCACTATGCTTTGGTAGCCTTTCATACTTAATCTACAGATTATTGTATTAAAGTAATACTCTTCTTTAATAGTAATAGCAGGATATAGTTCTTATATTGCTTACTAAGAAATGGTGGAACTGCTTAGAATTCCCATTACACTAACATGCATATTTCATTATTCTTCTGGTAGATACAGACTTTGTTTTTCATATAATTATAATGTAAACCATACAACTCAGCCACTCCAGGTCTCAGGGTAGGAATGTTCTCCATAGTTAATGCTTTTTGTTTTTCCAGAGCTCTGGCCCTTTAGGAATGTCACTTGTGTATCCACTAGCAAACATTAACACTTGTAAGTCAGTAATATATGAGTTCACTTTCAAGCTCTGTTTTCTTAGTTTTAAAAATATAAGGATTTGCACAGAGCCTGCCTGGCAAACTTGAGGTCCCGAGTTTGATTCCTGATACAAAACCACCCCCCAAAACTCAGGGATTTAATGGCCAATATTTTATTTAAGATCTTTATGTGTAGGTTCAGAAATGAAATGAGCTTGCGGTTTTCTTTTCTCATACGCAGACTCAACTATCAATGTTATTGAGGCTGGCCTGGAATTTGCAGTGATCCTTCTGCCTCAGCTTCCTGAGATTACCTCCTGCGATAACAGGTACACACTACCACACCAGGCACTCATGGCTTTAGAATTAAGAATTGCACCATAAAGTGGTTTGAGTTACCATTTCTTATTTTGGTATTTTCTATGTTTTCAAAACTATTTTAAAAGAGAGATTAGTGAGCTTCTTAAAATTTGGTAAAATATGTCATAAGACTGGCTATTTGAGAGTTAGTTAAAAACAAGGGTGAGAGGCAGGGAGTTCTGTTTACCATACAAATCTCTTTCCTTTCTTTCTGTAACATTTTATCTTTCTAAAATAACTTTTAATACCTTCTTTTATGTTTATATAATCTAATTTATTGTATAACTGCTAATACTGTTTTCACTTGTCCTTACATTCACCGGGAAATATTTCAAATATATGAACAAGAAGAACTGTATGTTATAGTCTGCTAGAAGAAACTCTTGATGTCATAGCCATAGGCAAGGAATTTCTGAACAGAACTCCAGTCTTATTAGAAATAGTTTTAAAATCAACAAATGAGATCATATCAAGTTAAAGAGCTTCTGTACAGCAAAGGAAACAACCAACAGAGTGAAAAGACAACCTGCAGAATGGGAAAATATTTTTGTCAGTGATTTCTCAGACAAAAGACTCATGCCTGCAATATTTAAAGAACTAAAAAAAAAAAATAAGACCCACCCAAAATAAAAGATCTAATAAAAAATGAACAAGTGAAGTGAATGGACACTTCTCAGAAAAAGCACAAATGGCCAATAAGCATATGAAGAAATACTCAACATTTTTGGCCATTAGAGAAATGTAAATTAAAATAATACTGAGATTTCAACTTATCCCATAAAGTCTATCATCAAGAAATCAAATAATAAATGCTGGAGAGGGTGTGGAATATGCAAACCTTGTGCACTGTTGGTAGGAATGTAATCTACTATAACCACTATGGAAATCAGTAGAGATTCCTGAAATACTAAAACTGAAATTCCATTTGATCCAATTATCTCCCTCCAAGGTATTTTCCTGAAGGAGGTAAAGACATTATATTACAGTGACACATACACAGTCATGTTTATTGCAGCCAATTCATAGTAGCTAAATCTTGGAAGCAACTCATTTGTCCATCCACAGATGAATGGGTAAAGAAAACTGGTATTTACATACCAGAGAGTACTACTGTGCCATAAAGAAAGATAAATTTGAGTCATTTCTAGGGAAATGGATGCACTTTGAGATCATACTGTTATGTGAACTAAGACACGTAAACTTAAGTATCACATTGTTTCTCTCACATGAAAATCCAGAGTATGGACAAAGAGCAAAATAAAAGACAGATATTAGTGTAGGGGATGGGGTCTGTAAATAGATGTCTCAGTTACTTTTCTTGTTGCTGAGACAGAATCCCCAACATCCAAAGTTAAAGGAGGAAAGGGTTAGTTAGCTCACAGTTTGTAGACATTTCGGTCCATATTGGCCGGTTTCAAGGCAAGGTGGCATGTGGCAAAGGGGCAACCATTCATGGTGGCAGAAGACAGAAAAAGCAGAAAGAGCAAAAGTGGGAAGCAAGCCTCTTTTCTGTCCTTCATACTGTATGCAGGCTACCTGTGGTAAGGTGGGCATAGCCCAGCCCAGCAGTAGACAAGGCACTAATCACAACTCTAGATTCAGCCATCTCCAAATGCTTACACCCCATGACTGCATGAGGCGTTGGAGAGACATCTAGACACAAACCATAACAACAGGAAAGGCCTCAGTGGACTTTCTGGCTAATCCTGACTAGAAAAAGTTAAAGCTTTACTGGAGAAAGCAATCAACAGGAATTAAGCAATTAAGGCAGAGAGGCAGAGCACGGGGAAGCCAGGTGCTCAACTCCAAGGTAGCCGCCCCTCACCCACCTCCAGTAAAATCAAAGAAGACAGGGACAGCCTCCTGAAAGATCTCACTCTCTCTCCCTCCCCCTTTCCTCCCCTTACTCCCCCCACCCCATCCCTGTCTACCTCTACCTCTCTATCTCACTCTACTGTGGGAATACCTTGGAGTCCCCACAGACACTAAGAGATGACTATAATTAATAAGTTTCCTGGGGGCTGGGGATTTAGCTCAGCAACATAAGCACCTGCCTTGCAAGCAGGCAGTCCTGAGTTCAATCCCCAGTACCGATAAAAAGACCAAAAGAAAAAAAAAAGTTTCCTAAAAGTAGAACATAAGCAGAAATTAAAATAAGCATGTTTTATTTCATGGATGAGAGTGAGACTGTCGTCTGCTGTGTGAACTTGCAGGCTCGTGTACAAAAGGTAAGCCACCCTCTGTTGTGAGTAAAAGTAAACCCTAGGAACTTTCCAGGATGCATGTGGAGCCTCCACTGGTCTTGACATGTGATATATTCTCACTTCTGTGGTTCTTCTGGCATTCTTCATGGTTCAGATGGTCTTTAGTGTACTTTTAAATATCTGATTAGAAACTTTTATCTTCCTGTTACTGATATTTAACATAGTGATATTACATTGCAATTATGTTGCCGTAGATACTGTTATTTGTTGTCTAATTATGTGGTTTGTTTTCATACCATATGCCATACGTGTATGTGAAGAATCCGGATTCACAATTGGAAACTAGGTTTGTCTGACTCCATCTCATTAGCCTATTTGAATTGCTTAGATGTGCTACATACTTTTAAATTTTTTTTGTCTGGCCTATCAGTTGAGTAGTGGATTAAAATATTTATTCCCTTCATGATAATATATTTTTCCAAATGTGTATTACATTTGACAGTTTTTCCATTATGAATTTTCAGGCTGTAAAGTTAGTTGCATACAAATTTACAATTTTGCTTTTTTGCTAAGTTCATCATTAGAAATGGATGATGTTTTATTAGAGCCTTTCACCTTAACATTTATTTTGCCCATACTTTTATTATCAAATATTTGAGGGCGATAGCTGTTGCTTTTTTCTAAGTAGTATTTCCAAAGAGAATATGATACATTCCCATCATCTGTCTACTTTTGTTTAGTTCACTTACATTTATCACTGATATTTTATTTTTATCTTATATTTGTCCTTTTTGTTTTTTCATGCTTTTTCTTTCCTTTAGACCCACCAAGGTTTATGAAAATGTATTTCTTCCCCACTAACTAGAAGTATAATCTCTACTTCTGTCTTTGTGTGTCATTATGCATTTTTTTTGTACTGGGAATCGAACTTAGAACCTCATGCTAGGCAGGCAAGTGCTGTACTGCTGAGCTATATTCCCAGCCCTGCATCTTTGACTTATTCCAAAAATAGCCTACTGTTCTTCTGTTCCCAAACTTACAATGTTTTAACTCCTAGCCTTTTGTTTTACATGCTCCTACCTATAATTTCTATTGTTGCCCACATGAGATACCACTTTTTATAGTTTTTATTAACATCTATCTCATTCTTTGTTCAGTATTTGTCATGCTTTTTAGGCTTTTTACCTGTAGGATTATTTTTTCTCTTTCTTTGGAAGCATCCTTGCAGATGGGGATCGGATGAGGTTGGCCTGTTTTTCGTTGTCTAAACACTTAATCACCTGTAGAATTCTGTGGTCTTCCAGCTGTGATTACAGAGCAGTAGGGGCAGTTAGCCATCTACACCATCACCCCCACCCCATCCCCGGCACCGGGTGGCTCCACTGTGCACCCTCCCCGGGGGCAGCCGGGAGCACACACTCCCTCGTGAATGCCACCATTCTGCACATCTGAAGAAGCCTAGAAAGAGCAAGATATGTACAGAAAGAGATTCACAGCCAGCACTTAAAACCAAGGGAACTCATGCTTTAATAGACACCGAAATCACAAAGGAAGAAGGCCAAGTGCCTTAGCAGTCTCAATAAAAATATGAAGTTCTTTTTACATGGCAAATTTTGTAATATAAAAAGTTTAACGCCGTCTGGAAACTGTGTAATTTACAAAAACAGTCCATGTAGGCCAAAGATGGCTAACACTGTATTTAAGAGCGTGAGTGGCAAGTGGGGAAGGCTGCGGCGGGCGGAGGGCGGGGCTGGGAGCAGACGGGGATACCGCGGAGGGGTCTGGCACAGTCGAGGGCCTGGATACACACTACATGGACAGTGGGGTCAGATGAAACAACACAACATGTGAGCAAAATTACACAGCTTTACCTTTCGCCTGCTTACTAACACAAACCAGATTATTGCATATTTGTCCAACTTGAACCAAAACTAGCAGAGCTACAGGGCACACAGGGTACTTGCCCACTGGAGGGCCCCTGGGGCAGATGACAGTGGGTCAGGACCAGGTGGGCAGCACCTCGCTCCCATCAGAGTGGACTGTGAATTTTTAAAAAATGAATTGGAGGTGAAAAATAATTCATTTTCTGCACACAAAAGTGGATCAGATTTTAAGTTTTAGTAGCTAATTTTCCTGTGGTACTTTGACTTGGTCAAAAACATCAAAGGAGTTTGAAATTCACTAGGGAGAAGCAAGACAGTCTACAACTTCCTTTATGGTCCTACCAAGGTTTCTAGGAGAGGAAGATTTTATTGCTTATCTTCAGTGTATTTGTTTGCATCTGATGGAAATACTGTAGGGCAGGGCTTTGGCTCCTGAGTTAAAAAGAAACAGATTCAATGCTATCTGCAAATGGGAAGCAAAAAATAACTGTTTTGTAAATTTTCCACATCCATTACTCTTCCTACGAGAGAGGAAGAGCCGGTGGCTAAGCAGACGTTTATGTGGCCCTTTTGTGCTCAGGGTCCCATCATGCTCGTCAGTCTTAATCCACTTCCTGACACTCATTTGTCCTGGGTTTCAGAAACAAAACATTATTCCAATTGCGTCGCCTATCATCTACACCAGGAGTCAGCAAATTTTCTCTTAAAAGGCCAGGTATTAGCCAGATACAATGGCCTGCTGCTGAAATCCCAGCTACTCAGGAGGCTAAGGCAAGGATCTCAAGGTCGAGGCCAGCCTGGACAATTTAGTGAGACCCTGTCTCAAAATAGACACTAAAAAGGGCTGGGGATGTAGCTCAATGACAGAACACATACCTAGCATGCATGAGGCCGAGGCTCCATCCTCAGTACCATTAAAAAGGAAAAAAGAAAAAAAAAAAAAAAGGTTTGTACTCCATTACTTTAGATTTTGTGGGCTAAGAGGCAAAATCAAGATTACTACGTAGATACTTCCATAACCATTTAAAAAGGTAAAATCTAACCTTATGGCCATAAAAACCGGATGGCTTACCAGATTTAGCTTATGGGTCATAGTTGCCAACCCCTTATACAAAAAAATCTGTATGAATTATACAATCTTGCAAAATTTTTAAGTGCATAATTTTTTCAGTGTAGCCTGAAAAATTTACTTTGATTTGAGGACTTTTATATACATTTCACTCTTACAGAAACACCAAGACTGACAGACAGTAAACATAAAACAATGATTCTGGTGATCTTTAGATTGATCACATTATTTTAACAACTTTGTTATTCCTACACTGGAATTTATGTCTAGAACAATGAAAACAACTTTGTTTGGCTCTTGAGGCTGAAACCTAAAATAACAATGTACTTGGGATAAAGCCAGGTCACTCCAGAAGTCCTACTAGGTGGCTCGATCACCACAGGAGGAGGGCTGGAGTGGAGGGATCTGCTCATGGTAAGCAAGTGAAGCAGTGCCCACAGATAGGGCACAGAGCTGGGCTTTCCTATGGGGCTCCGGGGCACTTGGGAAAGAGGCTGGGCAGATGTGCCAGGAAGGGACACCCACCATCTACACATGGGTTACATGTTGGCTTTGAGGTGTATTCTTTGTTGTTGAGGACCTGATTTCGTTATCAAAATGCACAGTGCTATAAACTTGACTTTCCTTTGCCACACTGGTACTTTCATTACTAATTTTCACTAACATACAAACATCTTCAAAATTGCTTAATGCTTTATAAAGTATTTCTCTTCCAGTGTTGGGATCAGGGTTAGAATGTGCCATCCCTATTGTTTGTGTTTATGAACATGGTTGTTGGGTTAAATGCAAAACTCTCTATGACTTAGCTCATGAGAATAGCACAAACTTGTAGATATTCTTTCTTCAGCAGAGTATATTAAGGAACAGGTGAAGTGGGCAGTATATCGTACAAAGTGGAGCTAGGGGTACCTGGGGGTCTTGATGTTCGTGTCTCTCCTGCAGGCCCGCATGTCCCCTCTGTATGCTGCTGATACACCCTTGTGTGACACACCTTCAAAGTGAGGATGGAGGATGAGAGAAGGAAGTTTAGCTGGAGAATGAATTTTCCAACCAAACTTAGTACTAATATGATTTTCAACATTTCATTTCTTTAGTTTAAGTAAATTAATGGTTACCCCTACCTAAACTATTCCCTTGTCTGGTCTGAGCTGGTCCTTAAGTATGCCATCACAGCTGTAGGAAAGAAAGCCCAGCTTCATTTTTTATGGTTCACATCGACTTCTCTAATTTGCCAGTTTGGGTACATGCCAGCCACAGGAGCCCTGCTCTTTAGGACACAGACAGGAGTCTTCTGCAGCGGCTGAGGCAGCTCACTGTGGCACAGGCTCTGGGACTGCGGGAACCTGGCACTGGACTGAGATAGAAGAGGTCCGCAGGGCCTGGATTTAGGAGAAGAGAACACAATTAAGCAGCTAATACAAGGGAATGGGGGGTGGAAGGAGAGGTTCTGGTTGAATCTGGTTAGCCAGAGGAGTGATTTTTTTTTTTTAACTTTTAAATTTTTTAAAATATTTTTTCCCTTAATAAGCAAACTGAACAATTTTAACCTTTCCCCTCAAACTTGATAATCGCTTATGATGTATGACTATTCAAAATTTGATACTTTAAAAAACTTTCTGAGCTTTTAAAAATAATGGCTATAAATGCAAAGTACTATTGATACTAAAACCAAGTTGTTTATCCATGTACAAAAAAGGTCAGTAATGTTTTAAAAGCACAAAGTTGCATTTTAAATCACAATTGCATAGTTCTAAAATGCCTGGATAAGAGTTACATAAACTTTTTAAGAAAATTCAAGTTTGGCTGATAGAAGGGCCCAGAGTTTGATGGAGTGGAGCAGTTCAGGCTGGAAGCACTGTTTCAGTGTGAGTTATTGCATTGTTGCTGGGATGTTACAATATCACGAGACCAAAATTGCTACAATTTAATTATAAATCATTGGCATTTTAAAAACCATTATTCTGTTTTTGGCTAATATAACATTTGCGTGTAGAATTCAACTTAAATTTTCTATATCCCACCCCCAACCAGCACCTGAAAGCCTTAGAAAAGCTCTATTTGTACTTCTGTGTAAAAAAGGTACTGCATATAGACCTCTTAGCAAAATATGTGCTCCCTTTCCTCTCCCATCCTAGAACCATGACCATTTTTTGTACAAAATCCTGTTGAAGAATCACATCGAAGATGAGAAACAGGGGGTTCCAGGTAAACATTTGGTGAAGAGTGTAGACAACGCTGTGAGCCTCCTGTACCAACCCCACAGAAGTCCTGGCTTTGGGTGAATCTGGTCCAGAGGAGCCCCATGTGAGCATATGGGGTTGGGGGTGTGGGAAAGCCCCTCGCCCAGAGAGCCCACCCTGGTGAGGTGGTGCTGGTGGCTGTGTGGGGTGACTGCTCTAGACGAGGGGCAGCCCAAGGGACCTCAGGACCCTGTTCATGCTGCTGTGCACGAGTCAATGGGCAGAAAGATGCTTTAGCATTTGGAAGAAGGGAAAAACCTTCCCGGGGAGAGGAACTTGTAGCCATTAGCAGAAGGGAGTCTTAGGGGGCGTTCAGGTGCCAGGGCGAGAGGGCTGGTGGGCAGCAGCGGGCCCAAAGCTGTAGTCTCGGTGCGCCAATGGCCATTAGGAGGGGCTCTGGGGGGGCCCTCGTCCCGCCGCTGCACAGACAGCTCCTGAAGTTCCAGCTTATCTGCCTCTTCCTCCTTCTTGTTGTGCCGAGGTGACAGGTTTAGCAGGCTGAGCACATCTCTCTTGGAGGTCATGGTTCCTGGTGGCGCACGTGCTGGTTTCACAGGACCTGTGGCATGTGGGGCTGTGTTCTGCCAGAACATCTTCAGGTTGTGCACGGCCTGTACCTTCTCGTCGATGGCTGCCAGCTTAAGCTTGTCCAGGTCAGGAGCATCAGCTGGACTTGAGCGTGCAGAACCCGCTGAGGAGTAGGAGAGTGCAGGGGATGGGGCACTACCAGCAGGGGATTGGTGGCCTGAGCTTGGCGACATGTTCCGTGGTGACTTGGAAATGTGTGCACTGTAAGGAGAGCTGGGATACTTCAGTTTAAAGAGCGGTTGATCAGACAAGGAGGCCTGGGAGTCACAGCTGGGGGACGGGCGGCCACTGTGCTGGTTTGGACTGTCTTTGAGGGATGCCTCTGAAGTGGTAGGGCTGCTGTACCCAGAGCTCACCTTGGGCAGAGATGAGCTCCTGGCTGGGGGCTTTGGTTTGACAGTGACTGGGGATGGCTGACTTTTCTGGTGGGATAGCACAGGCCTGCTGAAGGCGCTTGTTTCTGATGCCCTGAAGACAGTGGCACTGCTATTTGGCACTGACACACCATCTTCCCGATTATGACTCTTGCCCACCTGACTGCCACTCCTCTGAAGACGCTCTACTGCAATCAAGTGACTCTGCGTCTCCTCTAGGATTTTCTGAGCCAGCTCCTGGGGATCTAGCTTTGGATTGCTTTCTTCTTGGGACTTCACTGTGCTGTCTGTCTCGGTGCTGGACTGGTCCGACTCACCCGTGTCTGAGCTTGCTAACTTCCCTACCTTCTGGAAGGGCGAGTTTGGGCTTGGGATCAGAGTCATCTTCACTGGGGAATTTGGAGTGCTCACGCTGCCCTTGGAACTGACCGAAACCTTCACACCTGCAGCTGCCCCAGCGTGGGGCTGCCTGTGGTCTGGGGAGAAGCGCGTCTTTTTGCTCTCCTGGTAGGCTGCCAGGGGCTCTGTGCTGATGATGGAGAAGCCCTCGTATTCCTCCTCTTCTTTGCTGTCAGCAGGACGAGTCTGCGGGGATAGCTGGGTCCGAGGTAGGGTTGATTGCTGGGGGAAGGTATTCTTGGGCCTGTCGTAGTCCTGCCGTCCTCTGGGGCCTCCAGCTTCTGACCCCATCTCAGGCTTGGAGACAAAGCTCATGGAGGAGGCAATGGAGCTCAGACTGTACACAGAGATGGCATCAGAGGCAATGCTTTCGGCACCAGTGGGTGAGAAGGGTGGATGCTGGTAGCCCAGGGGCAGAGCATTGGAGACAGACTGGGCTGATGCCAGCGACTCCAGAGAGGATGAACTGTCCAGGCTGAGGCGCTTGGGGAGCTCTGTGGAATCTAAGAACAAAGCAGTTAGAATTTGATATAGTTTTGTTTTACCTTTCATAATCACAAATCTTTATTTGCATAGAAGCTAGCAAATAATTTGTAAGTACTATGTATCTGTAACTCACAATCCTATAAATATAGTCTGACTGGAAAAAAAGTCTTTTTTTTTTTTCTTTTTCCTTTTTATCGGTACCAGGGATCGAACTCACGACTACCTGCTTGCAAGGCAGGCACTTATGCCGCTGAGCTAAATCCCCAGCCCCGGAAAAAAAGTCTTACAGACAAAAGCACCCTGGGAAAGCTCACCCACACAGCTCAGACCTTCTCCACACTGCTGCCCGTCACGCAGGGTCAGCAGAGGGACCCATGTCTGCCTTCCTGCCTACCCAGGGCCTGGATGCGAACTGTGGTCTCTTTCACCTCCAACCCCATGCTTCCCACCTCTTGGCTCCAGTCACCTGCTCTTCTTTCTAGCAAGCATCCCAGGCGTTGTCTGCACTTGTTGCTCTCCAAACGGTCTCTCCTCTACCTTCTGAACCCACTCGACTCAGGCTTTTGTCCACACCCCAAACTCAGTGTTCCCCACTCAGTTCTGCAGCCTGTCGTCAGTAACTATTCCTAACCTAAGTCACCCTTATCTTTGTGACCCACAGAACACACTCCTCTTCCCCTCTGACCTATAGGGACTCTGGGTGCTTCCATGCACTCTCACACTGGCCTTTTCCTGGATCTCAGATGCAGGGAAGCAGCCGACTCCTGCCTGGTCTCATGCACCCACTGCACCCTGCAGAGGGTGAGACGCAGACTCTTGCCATATTCTGCCAGTGTCGCTGCTCTCCTCTCACCTGTTCACCCTTCCCTGCCACCGTCCAGCCTACCGCCTGCATGTCATTGTCTCCCCAGGATGGTACATTTGGGAAAGCTAGTGTCTCTGTTGACTGCTCTTCAGTAGTCTCTAATACTACATCAGGTCTGATCACTCCCCATCCTGGGGCATGGCTGGCTGGCAGCACAGGGGCTAGATGGAAGAAAGATTCTTACCAAAAAGAGACAGCAGGGACTGGAGCGCAAAGTGCATGGTGCGCCGACTCGCTTGTTTCCCAGTTTTCAGGATAACTTCCTCCTGACCCACTTCACAGAGATCAAAACCTAGAGAATAAAAGGATATATGCATCTGCTTCCATGTCCAGATGCTGAATGTGGCCAGAGCTGTGTGTTCCTTGAACAATCACAGGATGCCTGCATGCCCATCAGCAAGCACTCAACAGGGTTTTCAGGCTGCTTTAACCAGTAGAGCACCGCCTACTGCATAAAGGTACCACTGCCTGGCTCTGGCTGCTGTCTCACCCTGAACCAGGTTCCTGAGAGCTGAGGTTCAACTTAGTAAGTTCATTAACAACTGGCTTTTTTCATCTGTTAATAGAAGCTCAAAGACTCCCCAAGATGAAAACTCCATTCAGCACTAAGCCCCCTATGTAAAGCTGGTGTATAAGAAGGCAGTGATTTCACAAGCATAGGATAAAATTGCCTACATGTTCTTTGTCTACTGCTGCCTGCTCTGAAAGTGAGCTCCTTTGGGACACGGAGAATGTGTTCATTGGGTTGAACTAGCCTACAGGAGCTTCCCACCCCCGCCAACCCCAGAGGTGCTACCCACTGATGCTAATGGCCCTAATGAGACTCAGAGCAGGTACAACAAAAGGCGGAAAGCTTTCTGAGCAAGAGGCTGGGTAAGGAACTGTTGATACTGTGCTTGTACAATTTTAAGAGACATTACAACTAATCAGGTGCTGTGCTCGTAGTCCCAGCTACTTGAGAGGCTGAGGCAGGAGGACTGCTTAAGACCAGGATGTTCAGGGCCAGTGTGGGCAACCTAGCAAGATCCTGTCTCAAAACTGAAATAAAACCAAAAACTGAAAACCAAGAACCAAAAACCAAAACAAAACAAGAGAGACATTACAGAGGCAACCAATAAGTATCTCTCCTTGGGAAGATGCCAAACACCAATGCTGTGGCTCATGGTGTATCCCAGTTGGGGACCACTACGTAAGACTTAGGGGCTAAAGAGTCTTCAGGGTGGAAAGTCTTCACTTGGCCTCCTCAGTGTGCTGAGCTCTCCCTGAAGCCATACGAAAGACCTGGTTCTGGTCTCCCAGGGCACAGGGCAGCTAGAATGCTGAGCTCTGTCCTTTGATCTTGCAATCTTCAAATAACAGGAACCTCTACTACATAATGCTGCTATTGTTTCATGACTGAGCACTTGAGCATGGGTGCCAAGGGGGATCTTGCCCTCTCTTTTTTATGCTGGTTCAAGGGCTCTGAAACTGCTGTTCCCTTTAGAGTGAAGTGTACTACAAGAGCCACTGAGCATTGATTACTTTGGGATATTTTCCTCCCTGACCTGGAAAATAAATAAGCCCTGAAAGCAACAAGAAGGTCTCAGGTAATCTAGCATATAAAATCAGTAACAAAGTATGTAAAGGTAATATTTCTGTTGGGAACATGTTACTAGAGTCATCTGAATTGGCTGCTGCCCTAGAACTGGGCTGTCCACACCGCAGACAGCCTCATAGTGCACTGGGCTGGCTGCTGTGGCCTAGCTGAGGACAGGAGGGGCAGGTCTCCGGGCTGCGGAGCCCACAGATCGTGGGCCTCCACACAGCACCCTGCTCTTCCTCTCTTCCCTACTGTGAGCCAAGCACATTGACTGCCACAGTCCCGTCACCAGTGGGAGCTTGTATTGGGTTTTGTTGTGTTTCTTACTGGACTGTTCCTGTGATACGGCTGACAAGGACGTTGGAAACATGAAGCTCAGTGCAGAGGGCTGTCTTCCTCACGGTCACACCACACCCAAGGAGGGTCAGGCCCTGTGTGAGGGAGCTAGCTCTTCCTTTGTAAGAAAGACAGAGCTTTGTCTTCGACTGGCATATCCGCATCATGGCCCCAAGACTGGCCAAAGACTGTCACAAAAGAGAAGCTTTGTGGACATGGACCTGGCTTGTCTCACTCTGGCCTCCATGTGTTACCGACTACATTTACTTAGTTGTAAATTTATTGGATTTACCTTATTTATATAGGGAGACTGCTTTAATCCACAGGGAAGAAAAAGGAAGAGGAGAGGAAAAGAAGAGGAGGAAGATGAAGAAGGGAGGAAGGAGGAACACAAAGGAGAAGGAGGGGGGAGGGGAGAAGAAAGAGGAAGAGAAAGAGAGGAGGAAGGAGAGGAAGAGGAAAAGAGGAGGAGGACAAGAGAAGAAAGGAGGAAAGCAAGGAGTACCGCTACTCAGGGCTTCCTTCCCCTTGAAACAAAAGGCATCAGACCTAAATGGAGGTGGACTGAACATGGGTGAGAAAAGATGGCCTGGTGCCGAATACTCGAGTCTACAAGTGGGAAGAAACTTTCTTGTTATGGAATCGCTGCCCTGCAGTGTCTGATGGTGAGTCTCTGTGACAGTGAAGTCAGACTGTCGTGTTCAAGGGCTGTCTCCGTCTCTCAGGTCAGAACCTGAGAGATGCCCCATGTCTCACCCAACCCTGCACCAGCCTGGGGCTGGGCCAGTTCTTAGGCCTGGGTCTTCCCTCATCCGCATTCTGGGGCTCTCAGGTCTGCCTGGCGGCCCCTCCTCCAGCCAGTACCAAGCATGGGCTCCCTCACCTTCAAAGAGCTGCCTGAGGTATGGCTCTGATCAGGCCTGTCTGCTTTTTCTAGAATGCAGAATAGCAGGGGAGGATTTTTGAGAAGTCTTTTGGTCACCACCTAGAACCAGGTGTTCAAGAGAAAGCTGTGAAGTTGCTCTCAAGAAGACTCCAGGCAATTAGTGGGGTTATGTGGGGGTGTTTTATCAACAACATGCCTGTTATAAGCAAATTACAATCATGTCAGGGGCTGATCAGCCATTTTACAAACTGTAGGAAAGAGACAGTAAGCTTCCTGGATGGAGCAAGCACCTACTGCGGGCAGCTCTAGGTGCCCACGGCCACATCACAGGTGGTGTCCGTGTACTGTCTCCCTGCTGGTTCCCAGAGCCAGATGGGACCAATTAAGTGAAACCATTGTTTTATGACTGTAATTATGAGCTTTCTTTGGCTTGAACTTTGACAATACTAGAATCTAGCAGATTCCTAGTAAGATAATGTGTTCAGATGAGAAAGAGGACATCATGATATAAGGAGATGGGAATCATCCCAAGGCACTAGAATCTTTGACTAAACTATTTTTAAATAATATAGTAAGAAAACATTGAGATAAGACCCACAAGTGTCTACCAACTTTACCCAACAAAGCCAATATAAAACAGGTTTAAATGAAAAATGGAAATAAGGGATTCATCATTTCAAGGATGCTGTGTCCTACCAAGAGCTGCCAGGAACTCGTGGCATCCTGGGAGCCGCCATAACTGGACGCTGATGGAGACCTGAATGGGAGCCGAAGTGAAGTCTTGCTCCTTCTCACCAGCCTGCAGCTGGACCAGCACCTGGTGGAGCTGAGGAGGAAGGACAGACATGAGCAGCTAGCAGCCTTGGGACTCAGCCCCAAGTAACCGTTATGTCACCTGTCACTGCCATCACTAATGACCCTCTCACCTTCCATATGCATAGCCCTTGTATTCTTCTTAAACTGCCATTATACCTGCTGTCCTCTCTGTGGGGAGGCCAAGGGACAGCAAAGGCTGAGTGGCCTCCTGGGGCCCAGGTTCTGTTGCCAGCCTTGCATCTTTCCTTGAACACAGAGGAGGGCCAAGGAGTAGGAGGAACAAGTGAGGAGACCAATCACTTTCCCGCTTTCTACTAACGTGTTACAAGGAAGTCGTCTTTAGGATCCTGAGGTTCATGGTAAAGAGGAATCCAACACTAACTCCACTTGGAGCCCCAGCACTCAAGGACGAGCCCAGGGGACCTGCTCAGGTGTCTGCGTGGCCCACACCCCAATCTGTGAGCTCTTCCCAGGGTTCTTCCTGTGGGTTCAAAGTATTTCTTGCTTACTGTTTTTTGTTCCTGTTCTTCTAGTGGAACTTAAAAAGGCCAAACCAAGGACACAGGAGTGTTGAACAGGAAAGGGGAGCCACAACCGAGAAGGGGACTGGGCCCCCAACCCAGAGCTCCACAGCCCATTGGGCCCTGCCAGCCAGAGTGAAGTGCATAGCGAGCTCAGAGCTGCCGGGGGACTCAGGGTGGGTGGGTGGAGGGGCTCACCTGACAACAGTTGCTACTTAAAGTTGTACTCACCATTCCCACCATATTTTTAACAGCCTTCGGCCAGCAGATTATAAGAAAAAGAAAGAAAAAGAGAGAGAAAGAAGAGAGTTTAGACTCAAGCACAGGTGTTACGCACACGAGCTGATTGCTGCCTTAGGAAGCACCGCACTGGCCAGCTCTGACCAGGAGAGAGCGAGAGGCAGCGGGACGGACGGACGCACAGGAGATGAGCAGCCACCTAGGCCAAGCGAGTCAGGGCGAGGGGCAGGAGCAGCTAGGCTCTACCCTATCTTCCCAGGGCAGCTCAAAGGGGCAGGGGCATGGGCACAGCTATAGTTCCTGAGGGATTCTGGAAGAGACTCAGCCCTCATCCTTGGGGCTCTACAGTGCTTCAGCCTGAAACTTTTCTCCCACTGAAAGCAAGAAATTTAAACAACTGGCTCTTTTGGGCTCTCGGCCTTGTACTGTAAATGTAATAGTATAATTCTGGCATTAAAATTTTGTTTATAGATCACAGTTTTCTAGGCAACTTGGGTTCTAGGTGTTTTAATAAACAATGTTCTGGAAATGTCTTCCTGGTGCTATTCAACAGCAGAGGTAACAGTACAAAATGAGCAGGAACCAAGAAAGGGAATAGTCACAGGGCGGGTCTAAATCCTGAATAGAAACAACCCTGGGCAGCAGGATACCTCACCCCCACCCCAGCAGCCTCACCCACACAGGAATGTTTGTTGACAGACCTCATCACAATGTGTGTTCTCTTTTCAAGCAATCATACTGCACAGCAACCAGAAGAAACTGTCTTGTACTCTTACAAGGCTTCTCCACCACCCAGAAGCTCTACCACTCCTACGTGACTGTCACCTGGGGCTTAGTGAAGACTTGCCAGCCAGCAGGAAGGTCAAGGGGTACAGAGAAGCTCCAGGGCCATGTTGGCAAGGGCCTATGAGATGCTAAGGAGTGGAATCCTCCACAGTCCTGAATGAGATGCACATTCCTTCACCAAAGGCACATCTCCAAAAGGTGCTCAGTAGACTCACTGCTCACCACTGTGCCTCAGTTGCTCCCCATTCTCATTCCCCAGTGGCTCCTGGCTTTCAGCACAGAGCATGCATCTGATAATAAGTACTGGAGCTCTGCAGCCATCATGGTACAGTGGCTGAAGGCCTGCAACTCAGGGATGGTGGCTGTGGTCCTTGTCAACGAGCTGAAGAAGTTGGGTGGGATGACATGGTGCAAGGCAGCACTGAATGGAAACTCCAGGAAGTGCCTGGACTGCAGGTGACAGGACTTGTAGGTACCCTCTGAAGGCCCTCCACGTCCTTGGCGCTGACTGCCCAGAAGGACACAGAAAGAGCTTGTGCAGGCCCAGAACACACAGGGAGAGTGGCTCTCTTCCTCACAGGCCTTATCCTTTTCCCTAATCATTCTGGCTGACAGCAACAGTGCACACATATCATTTACAGGTCCTATCTTGGGCCAGTGTATACTTTGTCTTTCTAGCCCCACACAGCCCAAATGCCTCGGCTCTACTGTCTGGGCTCTACTTACCCGGCTGATGAGCTGCTCGCCTGTCTCAGAAGCAGTGATGAGTTTGCACAGGGCCTGAAGGGCAGGATTGGGCAGACCTAACCCAAGACAAGGATGGAAGTTATTCAGAGGGAACTCTGTACCCACATTTCTGCCACCTTCCAGGGAAACCCCAAATGCTCAGCATTGGTGGCATTTTTTTTTGTCAGAAGTGTGGCCCAGCATGACATGTATATCTATATGGCACCTGGGGGACTGTGGATCCCAGCAGAGGAAGGAGAGAGGCCTGGCCCTACTACAGTCTTCTAGGTGCAATGACAGTCCTGGGACTCCCTCGGGTGCTCAGGCAATCACCTCTGAGTTAAGCACCAAGGGAAGCCCTGAGAGTGTGCACCTCCTTCACCCTGGTGGCTAAGCAGCTTTGTCAAAATCACAGTTGCCAACAAGGGTTTCAGTTGCAATTGGTATTTGCTCAGCACAGCCTCACATCATCCCCAGAAAGGGCCGAGCAGGGACAATGCCTGCCCAGCATGGATGCCTCACCATGCAGACGTAAGACCGGGTGAAGAGAACACGTGTGCCCCAGATCAGCAATAGGAAGCTGCGGCTGGGGCTCCCTGTCACTTCTCACTTGCTATGTCCCAGCTCTAAGACCTAGCTTTCCGAATGCAGGGACCACATCCACCTCCTACCCTGCCTCTGCTGTGCACCAGATCCTTGGCCATCTGGCTGTACCAAGGCTGAACAGGTCCGTGCCTACCCAGCAGGGACTGGAGCGTGCTGCTGCACTGCTGGAGCCGGTCGCCTGGGTCGGAAGTCGGGAAGAAGACAGCTGCCGGCAGGCCGCTGGCTGGGGGGTCCAGCCGGAAGCCCACAGCAGTGAGGAGGGCCTGCCAGCCAGGGATGCCGCCCACTTTGTTCTCCACACTCTGCTGGGAGGTGTACATGGCATTGCGCTGCCCATTCTGGATACGCTGTAGGGATTTCTCCACCTGGCAAGGAAATCAGAGTCAGAGACTTTGCTAGGCCTGGTTCTTCTCCATGTGGCTCTGAGGGAACGTGAAGCCAACAGAAGCCAAAGCACATCGGCTGGGTGCTCAGGCGGACATCTCAAAAGGAAGGGTCCTAACAGGATGATCTGATCATCAGGTGGGTGTACTGAAGGATTCTGTCCTTTCCCTCACAGGAGGGGTCTGGCTCCAGACATTAATGCAACTTGCCTGAAAACAAGTCTCAGAACAGAGGCGGCCCGACTCATGGAGGGGCACCTTGTCGCTATAGGGTACACTTCAGCCTCCTCCGCATCCCTTTGCTGCCACAGCACCTCTCCCACCCGAAGTGCTCACTTCAGAGCCTTGGCTGGGAGCCTTGGCCCTCTTCCCCTACTTCCCAAACCACCTGGCCCCTGCATCTGTACATACACCCACACCTGGTCTGGCCCCTACACCTACAGAGCTCTGCTGCTATACCTCCCACCCATGCTCTCCTCTCCATAAAGTGTCCAGTGCCCTCTAGGCCTCAGCAGATGTCTGACACCTGGGGAACTTGCCGAGTAACCAATTCATTCTGCACTAGTGAGCATGTTGGCAGCACTACACATGGCCTTTCACGGGCTCACCCAAGTGGCCTCGCCAAGAGAAACCCTGTCCTAAGATGTCACTGGGCCTGAGGTCTTTCTCAGAGTGATCCACTGAGATGTTGGGGCTCAGACATCCTAAGCAAGAGGAAGTGGGCACTCACACCATCGAGGAGGAAGTGGGCATTCCTGAGCTGGAAGGCCCATGGGCCCACTGGGTTCAAGAAGTATTCAAAGTAGTGAGAAGAAGGCGGGGGCTGGTGAATTTGACCATGACACCCATATCCACGCCAGGAGTTAAAGCCAAGGAGAAAGAGAAAATGTGCCTAAGGGACTCCAGGCTGTGTGGCAGCTGAGAAGCCTGGCCTCGGAGAAGAAACCTATGGAGGTGAAGGCATTTTTTTAACCTAACAAAAATAGTCTAGAGCAGTGGCACTGAGGTAGGACTTAAGGGATGATGGGACCTGGGAAGGGACCCAGGCTGAGCAGTGGAAAGGGTAGCTTCCAGACACAGGTTGGCATCACTAGCGCCATCACTCAACACCCTCCAGGCCTGTGGACACATCTGCCTATAAGAGGGCTCTAGGATGCACTGGGCCTGACCTAAGAGCTGCTTGGAGCATAGCCAAGGTAGGCTTACTTGCCATACACTGATGACTGTCAGGTCAGAGAAAATTCCTTCTAAGGCACAATGAGCTAGAGAAAGGGACACAATTTTCTGTCATTAGATGTGCACAGAGAGCCACCACATCCAGGCCCAGGCCCCCGGGGTAGAGAGGACTTACTTAGGTCTTCCCCATGGGACAAGGATTTTGCATGGACCAGGGACCCAGGTACCTAGAACCCAGTGTGCTCCCAGGCCCTGCATGGAACTCTTCTTGGGGTGCTCCTTCCTGAGCATAGAGAGGGCCATGGTACATGCAGCTCCTGGCCTGCAAGGTGACGATGGCACAGGATCCTGGATATGGTATGCTTAAATGCCACAAAGGTCAGGGCAGATCAGGATTTGTCCTGCTGCCCCAAGACTCTAAAAGACTAGGAACTGTAAATGAGGCTATCCTGGCCTTCTTCAGGACAGCCTGCATTGTATCCTCCAGGGTGTACTTTCAGCTTGCCTTCTCCTCTTTTCCTCAGCCCAAGCTTGCTCTGAAGAGCCAGTTTTTCCCTCACTCTTTGCTTTTTCAAATAAACTTTGCTACCATTAAAAAAAAAAAAAAGGATTGTAAAAGAGCAGAAACTGCCATCCAGGCTGCTAGCAAGATAGAAAGATGGGGCAGGGATTATGTCACTGATTCTTGACCTAATTGGTAACTTTTAAATGTCTAGGTGATGTCAGGATTTCATGGGTACTCTCACCCATACCCTGGAAATATGGAGGCAGGACGAGGGCATAGACTTTTAACTGCATGTGACAGAAAGATCACTGGCATCTGAAAATAAAAAATCTGTTAGCTACTAGGGCCCTACTGTGTGCCAGACACTCATATTTTCTCTAATCCTTACAGTAATCTTAAAATGTTAGTTTCACCACTTCCTTCCAGGTGGGGAAAGGTGAGATCAGGTTGCTAGTGACTTGTCCAAAGCCACAGGGAAACACTCTTCTGCTGCCACACTGTCCCGCAGTCTTGGGGAGGCATGGAGCATCCATCTGTGACAGCCTACACACAGTGCCTTGTTCCCATCCCAGTGCCAGGGAAACCTCAACCCTCCCCTTTTCAATTCATTTCCAACCCGCTTTTACTGGCTCCTTCCACAAGCACAGCCCCAAGATACTGGCCTCTTACCAGGTGCAGCAGTACTCGCAGGGCATCCCGTGCATGCTCTGGATGCTGTAGGATCTCCGTGAGGGCCTGGCCAATGAGTGAGGAGGGACTGTTCAGCTTCACATCACTTCCAATGAGAAGGAACCCTGTAGAGAGCATGTTCCACTTCAGCAGTGGCTGGAAGCTCCACCCAGCTCTGCCCCCACCCCCAGCTGGTTCCAATCACAAAGCAATGCTCAAGTTAATTTAGTGGAGAGCCTGGCCCAGGCAGGACATCTACCTTACCGTAGCATCCTATGTCTCTTTCCTTTTAGGAATTAATAATTCCTACTGTTCAAGTAAGTGAAGACAGCAGATTTACAGTGAGAGGATCTTGGGAGGTACCTCCCAAGGAATGACTTGCTTTCCTTCCCTAAAATTCTTCTGCATCTCTTGGGAGGGAACATGCCCAAGATTCGGGGGGAGGATTAGCAGATGAGGGAGCCAGGGAAGAGATGTTCTTGAGTTCTAAGAATGAGCAAACTAAGTCTAGGTAGGGAAAGAGCAAGGAACATAGGCATCCTTACCTATCTCCATACTCAGCCCTTGGGGTCCCTACCTAGCTCCCTTCTGTCTACATGGCCTGAAGGAGTCTTAGCCCTGTTATGCAGACAAAAGGCTGAAGACAACATCTCTAAAGTTAACAAGGGGGGGGGGTAATAGCTCATTGGCAGAGTGCTTGCCTAGTATGCACAACGCTCTGGGTTCAATCCTGTTATGTTTTGGAACTAGATGTCCCCCAAGAGTCTCATGTACTCAAGTGGGGCTTTTAGAAGGTGACTGAATTATGGGGTTGCTACAGCTAACTTGCTATTAGGAGGCCAGGCTGGTTAGAGGGGAGTCGCTGAGTGATGGCCTGGAAGGACGGATCTCCCTCCCCAGCTTTTTCTCTCTGCTTCCTGGCTGCCACAATGTAAGCAGTTTTCCTTCTCCCAGACCCTTCTGCCTTATTTTTTGGGTTTTTTTAAACCTTCTGAATGTGGAATGAAAGTTCTGAACCATGAGCAAAAATAAATCTCTCTTTGCTAGAGTTGCAGGTATCAGGTATTTTGTTCTAACGACAAGGAATACACCTAAGACAGATTTGGGTATCAGAGAAGTAGGGTTGTTGCTGTGACTCTATCTGACCAAGTGGTTTAGAAACATTTAGAACTGGTTCAAAGAAGGAGTTTAGAAAGTTTTGGAAAAGCTGACTAGTGAAACCTAGAATGCTGTGAGCTAAGCTTAGATTGTAGAGTTTGGTTGGAGCTCAGACCAGAATGCTGACAGAAAAACAGACAGTAAAGACCAGAGTTAGGAGGTTTCAGTTGGGGTTAAGGACTCCATTGGCAGCTGTACTCAAGATCATATGCATTATGCTGTGGCAAAACATCTGTCTATGTTTTGTTCATGCCTGTAGACTATAAATGTCTGAGATTAGGGTGGCAGGTTAATTAATCTAGCAGAAGAAATTTCAAGGCAGTACAATGTTCAGGCTACAGCATGGATATAACTTGTTGCTTTTAGCAAGATTCACATTGAGAAATAGAAGTGTAAAGCCCATTTAAAAGATTTTGAGTTTCACTAGGAAAGAAGCTCTTGCAAAGGTGAGGCTTGTATAGTTTTAGTCAAGGAGAACTTGGTTGCTGAAAATATTACCATTTTAAAAAAGTCAAGTATTTGGTATTAGGACAGCAGAAAAGATGCCTTGTTGGCATTGCAAGAATCAGAAGACTCCTCATTTCTCAGAGTAAAGGATGTAAAGATATAAAGTTTTCATTTGAGAAGAGAGTTTCTGGGCACTCTGTTCCAAATGAGCCACCAAGGATATCAGCTCCTTGGGATTCAGTTCACACAGTGCTTGGCCATTCAGGCACTTGGAGGCCTCTGCAATCATGATTCAAGGGGACCTGATTACTGCTTGAGCTGGCAGCAGACTTTGATGTCATCCATGTGCTGCTGATTTTATGGGTACACAGAATACAAGAGTTGTGGGGGTTATGGAAACTGCCACTCAGATTTCAGGTAGTGTACTTCTAAAAGGACCATGCACGAAGCTGTGAGAGCGAAACAAAAAGTACAACGGATGACCCAGCAAGATGGAGAAGCCAGGAATGTGGGACATCTGGGGAAAGCCACAGGCAGTGAACAAAGCTACTCAGAGAGGCCATGGCAGTTTGTAATTGGCAATGCTTTAGGGGTGGAGCCACCCAAGTCCCTTGGAGTTCACATTTTTGCCCCAGATTCTGGACATGGAGAATTTAATATTTGCTCTGTTGAGTTTTAATACTGCTTTGCTTTTCCTTTCCCCTGTTATGGTTTATATTTGGGTACTTCCACAAAACCTCACGTGCTCATTTATGGGGTTTTTGCAAGGTGACTGAGTCATGGAGGTGCTATAGCTAAATGTGATGTTAGCAGGAGGAGCCTGTTTGGAAGAGGTGGGTCACGAGGGCTGTGATCTGGAAGGGCATGTCTTTTCCTTCACTCCTCCTGTCACTCTGCTTTCTGACTGCCATGAGGTGAGATGCTTTTCTCTACCTAGGTCCTTTCACTGCCAGCAGCTGAAACTTATAAAACATGAGTCAAAATAAACCTCTCCTGCTTTGCACTGCAGGCATCAGGTATTGTACCCAGAACTGTGACTAAGATACCCCATATTTCTCCCTTATGAAATGGAAATGCTTATCCTGAGTCATATTTTGGCAGTATTTAGCTTTTTATAGGGGCTCACAGCTAAGAATTTGCCTTGAATCTTGGAGACTTGGGAATTAGACTTTTCTGCAATGCTGAACTGTTAAGTCTTTGACAACTCTTAGAGATGGGCTAAATGCAATTTGCATAAAGAGATAGACATGAATCTGTTGGGTATCAGAGGCAGAACGTTATGGGTAGATCTAGGTGTCTCCCAAGAGCTTCATGCACTCAGGCAAGACGTTTGGAAGGCGATTGAATTATGTGGCGTTACAGCTGAGCTGGTGTTAGAAAGTAGGGTCTGGTTAGAGGAGGGTCACTGGGGACACGACCTGGAAAGACATATCTCCCTCTCTGTCTCCTTTCTTTTCTGCTTCCTGGCCACCATGACATGAGTAGCTTTCCTCTGCCCAAGCCCTCAGGCCACGCCATTTCTGTGTTTAAACCTGCCAAACATGGACTGAACCTTGTAAACTGTGAGTCAAAATAAATCTCTTTACCCAAAATACCCAGGCGCTGGGTACTCTTCAGCAATAAATAAAATGACTAAGACAAACCCTATGAAAATAAAGAGAACAGTATTATTGAAAATAATTTCCCCAAGAACAAAGTTGCAAATTCTGTATTGTCTCTCAATAAAATTGAATCAAGACTCAAAAATATGATATCTATAAGCACCTGGGGGAGACCTACAGAGGGCCAGGCCCCCAAAAACCGGTAAGATATTGTATGAGGCTCAGCCGGGCTCTGAGCCCCTTCTGCCCACCAGGAGTATGAACAAAATAGGTGTCATATGATGAGAAAGTGATGGGTCACTTCTGATTGTCTCATCTTCCCATCACTTTTCTTGCAATGCCTTGTGTTTCACAAGAAAATTCAGCCTAGGGCTTATAGATCCTCCTCGCTTGATACCACCCTGGTCAGGGTGGTAACATCAGCACCACCTCATTGTCTTGTTGTGGTACTACTAAGGACACTGAGCTTCAGAGAGGGTAAGGAATCTGTCTTAGATCACACAACTATAGCACAGAGCTATCTGCATCCTAACCCTTCATCAAATCAAAGGCCTTTCCTACCAACATGGTGTTTTGAAGGAGGTTGCCATGAAGTGGGTCACTCAGTTTCTGACACCAGTTCTGCATGGAGACTCTGAAAATGTCTGCTGCTCCCTGGCCCAAAGAGCAATCTTTCTACCATAGTAGAGACACACTCGTGTGGCAGAGTGGAAGGTCCCCCTCTGTTTCCTCTACAGCTGCCCTCCCTGCCTTCCCCCTGCAGAATGAAGTGGGGGGCCAAGGCGTCCGACCCCGAGGCCCACCTGCAAGGCTGTGCAGCATCCTACCTGCCCAGTTGGAGGGGTGTGAGAAGGCCTTGCTGCTCTGCACTACCTTCATGGCCTCTCCCAGAGCAGCACTGGCCTTCAGGCCATTCAGCAGAGATGAGTAGAAGGCGTGGATGAACATCTTGGAAGCCGCCACTGGCACTGGCCACAGAGACACAAGGACACACTGTGCGCCAGCAGCCAGGAAGGCTCGTGTCAGTGCCACCACCCCATCTGCGGTGACCCTGCTGTTGGCCTCCTGGGAGGAGCCAAGTACCACGAGCTTCACGGGCAGCCGCAGGTCCAGGAGGTCAGCGGCTGTGAGCAGCAGCTCCCGCAGAGGCGGGCAGTCTGAGATACTCTCGCCATCACTGGCATCGTCCTGTACGCGCAGGGACTCAGGTATTGTGTAAGGGTGGCCGAAGGAGCTCTTGCTGCTGGCAGGGTTGCCATCCACACTGGGTGTGAGGACCAAGGCTGACAATTTCCAGGAGATATGGGTGGCGAAGTGGACACACTCAGCCTGGGTCAGAGCACTCATGACCCTCTCCTTGGTGGCCACACTGCCCACCAATGGCTGGCAGCCCAGTAGCTCAGACACCATATAGGCTTCCTCCTCAGCGGATGGCATGGGCCCCCACAGCCATCTGTCCATCACTGCTGATGGGAGCTTGGGATTGCCGATGACAGCTGCCATGGATGTAGAGCTGGAGTATGAGGGTGGGCTCTTCCTCAGGTGACCCTAAAGGGGAGGGTACATAGACAGATCACCGTCAGAAAGGAAGGGTGGCTGGATGTTTCAGAAGCACCTGTTTTCCAATAGCCTCATTCATTCTAATTTTTCAACCTCTTTTTGACACAGACACCTGACTCAACAGAGATTTATACCTGCTGTGAAGAGCACTTAAGAATAACCAGGATGGGACAGGAGAGGAGACCCTTCCTGTGGGCCATCTCGAGATGGCTGGGAAAGAGGTACTGCAGGGACAGGTATGAGATGATCTGGTTCTCGTGTTCAGACTGTGTTTGATGTCCTACAGTAGAGGTGACCAGCTCCTGATCAGCCAGGGACTCGGAGAGGGACTTGTTAAATCATACAAGTCAGTCTCAGGGAAGATGGGGCCAAATTAGAAGCTCTAGGGATTGAAAAGAGTATTCTTCATCTTTACATACTGCTAGATAATATCACTGAATTATAAAGTCAGGATAAAGGGCCCAACAAAGCTAAAACTTTTCCTTCATGATAACTCTTGGCACATTTTGTGAAACACTAAGTTCCAGGTTAATTCAGAGTAACTTTGGAAGCTCTGATAGGTGCCATCTTAAACAGGGTAAGAGAAATGCCAAGCTTGCCGGGAAACAGGCCTTCTCCAAATCAGTGGATGAGTTGGCAAATAGTCCTTCACGGTTACTATCATAATAGAGGCTTTCTGCAGACTGACATCTTCTGATTCATCAGTGGCACTGTGGGGAGGCGGCTGGCCACTGGGTGGCACATTCCAAGGAAGATTACCTTGCTTAGCATCTGGGATCCACAAGCAGTCACAGAAACAGTAAACTGGAGAATCCTTTCTTTTACTTTGATTTATTTCTGCCTCATGAGAAAATATACAACTCAGCTATAAAGACAGTCTAAATTAAGATCTTCAAAAAGGCATGAGCCAGAAACTGATCCCATGTGAACCTGCCAACAACCCAGTTCAACCAACGGGCCAACAAGGACCAGTGGGGCCCCCTGTGTCCAGGGCCTGACGCCTCAGTTCCCTCCCAGAGGCAGCCCCAGAGCTCTGTGCATTACCTTTGAGTATGGGCCAAGTGAGCGGATGGCAGGCACGGCGATGAGGGTGAAGCGTTCATACAGGTACTCGTTGGAGGAGCTGCCCTTCAGGAGGGCAAAGGGGATGAGGTAGAGTTCCCCCTCCAGAACCAGTACCAGTTGCCGGTGTCGGCCCACAGGGCCACTGGAGTGCATCAGGCCCTGCGGAACAAGCACAACAAGCTGATCCATGGGGTAGGGGCTTTGGGATGCCATGCACATCCTGGAACCCAGGAAAAGGGTACAACAATGACCAGGCAGGTCCAGACTTGCAGGGACAGTGGGGTGTGGGGATTGCTCGGGCACCACTGAGAGATGTGTTTGCTCCAGGCCTGGCGGGGGAAGCACAGTGGGGGCTTCTGCTGCCTGGCAGGAGAGAAAGTCAGAGGACAGTTTCTTGACACAGATGACTCGGGGTAGGTGGCAGACTAGAGGTATTAGCCATGAAGGAGATGGCCCATAAAGACAAGGATAGACTCTGGAAGACCCAGATGCTTCCTGGGGTGTCATGGTGCACCACAAAATGTGAGGCAGGGAATGTGTTTGCACACAGACCTTTAGAACAAGGTAGACACAACCTTCTCAAAATGGGCAGCCAGTACTCAACAGGGTGGGATGTGCTCTCCACTCAGAGGGACAAGAGGCTAGAAACTCAAAGGAGAGAAAGTTCAGGGGCCTCGGATGGCATCTCCTGGAGAAGGATCAATGACTGCTCCTCTTCTCAGGAAATAGACACCCACTCATTCCACAGTAAAGGCACACCTTTCCAAAAAGGTCAGTGATGGAGACTGAAGTCTGGGAACCTGAAGAGGGTGAGGAGGCAACTATGAGAACCGGATCCACCCAGCTCAGGCAGCAGAGGCACGAGATACAGCCACTGCCCAGCAGCTTGGAGGGAGGCGACAGGGGGCACAGACAAGCCACAAGCCTTCTCTTTCCCTCACCCGTTCTGCCCAGGCAGGACTGACAAGCTGTGCCTGTAGGAGACAAACATGCTTGCCTGACCCAGCTGCCCTGCTGCCCTGAGCACTTGGCTGAGGGTGGCAGAAGCACTCAGCTAACCCAAAGTGACACATGCCTGGTGGGACATACAGGATACACAAATTCCCATGACTTAAAAAAAAATTCTAGCTACACTGGAACAAAGTACAAATTAAAACTGTTAGGTCAGGTTTGCTTTCAGAGTGCTTTCCTAGGAAAAACTAAAGGAATTGCTGTGACTACTGGCAGGGAGGACCAGGCTGTAATAGAGTGGGCCCAGGGCTGTCTGTGGGTCATTCTGGGTCTGCATAGGGAGTAAGCAGAACTGCAGCACTGGATCCCTGTGCACTGAGCTCCGTGCCCAAGGGTTCTAGCCAGACCTGCTGGGGCTGTGGCTCTGGGGTTCCTCTGAAAGCAGTGCTACCATGCTGGAAAGTGTGCCAGTAGCTTTGGGCAGCAGGCATCAGTGGCAGAGCTGAATGGGCTATGCCCTTGGGGGTAGGGTCAGTAGCTGTGATGGTGGCAACTTCTTACCACTCCATAAGAATTATGCTGCAGATAAGTGTATGGGGGTGTGGGGGGGTTGTCAGCCACCTGCCACTTGCAAGTGCGTGTTACAGGTGCCAGGCCGACAAAGCTTTGACAAGGTGTCAGCCCCAGGCCTGCAGGTGCCCCCAGAGCTCCTGTTTACCCAGGCCCACATCCCAGGTAGGCCTGGTCAGACGTCATGTCACAGGCCACTGAACTCCCCTGGACACACATTCTTCACGGACAAGTCTCTGGTCATGATAGGACCTTTTCAGGGGAACCAAAAGCAAACAATGGAAGGCTGGGTGAGTTATGGCTTATAATTAGATATTCTGGCAAAGCCTCATGCATTCATAGGTGGGGCTTTTTGGAGCTGTCTGAATCTAGGGTATATGATACTGAGATCAATGGTATGTGGTACTAAATTAGTTCACTGATTGAAATAAACAGAGTCCTGGGTGTGACTGAATGGATTTACTGAAAACAGAGGCCCCACCCTGAGTGTGGACAGACAGGATAAAAGATGGAACGCAGGGTGCTGCTGCTTGCTGCTTTGCTGTCTCCTGCCTGCCGTGCCATGGACTGCTTCACCTATTTGATGCCCTTCTGCTGTACCACCTTGCCTTGGAGACAGCTGATTATGGTCTGAAACCTCTACAAAATGTTAGCTGAAATAAATCTTTGCTCCTCTAACTTTGGGTGTTGTGTATTTTGTCTCACTATCAAGAAAATAGCACAGATTTTGGTACCAGGAGTGAGTCATTGTTGTGACTGTAGCTGATCATAAGGTTCAGAGCCTTTTGGAATTGACTTAAAGGGAGAGTTGGAGATGAAGAAGCAGCCCTGTAATGCTGTAAGCTGAACCTGATGGGAGGAGAATCTAGTCAGAGTTTAGAAGACCAGAATGTATACAATACAGCTGGAAGAGACCAGGCTGAAGAGGTTTTAACTGGGAAGAAAGACTCCATTAGCAGTTGGACTCCAGATCAAGTATGTTATCCTCTGCCAAAAAGTTGTCTGCAATTTTCTTATGACCAGAGATTTTGCATGAGACTGAGTTTAGGAGCAACAGATTACTCTGGTGCAAAAAATTTCATGACAGTCTAATGTCGAGGCAGTGGCATAGCTACTGTTGGGGTCTTTTACCAGCAGTACCTTGAGAATCAACAGCCAACAATCACCTTGCCACCATCCACATGGTGATGGCTTTATGTGCATGCTGAATGCAAGAGCTGTAAGATCAAGAAGGCTTCCACATAGACGTCAGAGGAAGACCTGGGAGACCTGGCAGTGGCTCTGAGAGACCAGTTTATGAAGCTGTGAGTGTGAAGCTGAAGGCACAGTACAGACCTCAAAGGATTGGAGATGCCAGAAATGTGGACCATTTAAGGAGAATTCCAGGGAGTGAGAAAATCCAGCCCAAGGGAGAAGACATGGGAGCTACAATCAATGGGAGAGCTGTAGGGGCAGAGCCACCCAAATCCTTTGGAGTTCACGTCTTGCCACAGATTACATTAGATGTTGGATATGGAACTACAGGACTTAATGTTTGTCCTGCTGGATTTTGGTCTTGTTTTGGTTCTATTCCTTTCTACCCTCCTACTGTACATTTTATAATGGAAATGTCTATCTTGTACCATTGTATGTTGGAAGTATTTAACCTTTTTTGTTTGTACAGGGACTCACAGATGAGTTTGCCTTAAGTCTCAAAAGAGACTTGAGACTTGGACTTTTCAGCAATGCTGAAACTGTTACAGCTTTGGCAACTCTTAGTGAAGGACTAAATCCCTTTTACATAAAGGGATGTGCATGAGTCTTTTGGGGGCAGAATGTTATGGTTTGTATCTACAAAGCCTCATCACTCATGGGTGGAGCTTTTCAGAGCTGGCTGGATGTAGGGTTCACACTAGGATTTGGGGTTATGTGTACTAAATAGTCCACTCATTAGAATTAGCATAGTTCTGGGTACAGCTGAATGGATTTACTGAAGATAGACCCATGATGAGTATGTATGGCACCACTCAGGAGACTTGTAGCCTGGATGGAATACAAAGGAAAGAAGGCAGACTCACTGTTGCTGCTGCTGCTGCTTGCTGCTAGGCAGCGGACTGTTTCTCCTCCACCATGCCACACTGCCTTGGAACCACCTGATTATGGACTAAAATATCTACAAACTATGAGGCAGAATAAACCTCTCCTCCTTTAACTGTGGGTGTCAGGTATTTTGTTTCAGCAATCAAAAAGTAAGTAAGATACTATCAGTGGGCCTAGAAAGCCACTCTGTCACTTGAGTCGTGGCCAGGTGATCACCTTCCCACAGCCAGCTCCATAAGGAAACCAAGGTACCACACAACCTGATGCTCAGCAGGCTCCAGCCAGCAGGTGCAACTCCCATGCACACAGGCTCTTGCCTGGTAGCTGATGGCTGCCCACCTAGAGTTCTTGTGGCTTAAGAAACATGTGGGCCATGCAAATCATTAAGGCTCAAAGGACAAGTGGACCCTACATGAGACTACGCCCTACTATGGGGACTGACTCATTTTCATGGGGTACCGACACTGGTGGTTTTAGTCATGCAGACAGCTTGTGATAATTGCTTATATTTTTCCTCCTCTTAATGAGTTGTGGAAATGCTGTTTGTCCTTGGGTGATGTCTGTCCTCATTTGAAAATCTCCACAGATGTCTCAATCAGAAATCTGTTAGATAGCAAGTGGCAGGGCTGCTGTCTCCAGGGGCTTGTCCTCCACTCCAGACTTTTTATCTAACTGATTCTTTGGAGAGAATGTCCCCAGCTATGTCTAAGACACTGGAGTGCCCAGCACCTTCCCTGTCTGTCCTGAGGCAAGCTATTCATTAAGCTACTTAGTTTTCAGGATCACTTAACAAACAAATATTAAGGGAGTCTTCAGAGTGATTACTGTCATAGCCCAGTTACAACCAAGCTCTCCTTGCAGCCCAACACTCACCAGAGCCACAGCCCTGTGAGTGTTCTTTAGGTGAGGGCCTGAGGCAATGTCCCTGGGCTCCCTACTTTAGGATAGCAGTTTCCCAATCTAAGTGGCCCAGACAATAAGTTTTTTTTTTTTTTTTTTTGGTCTTTTTCGTTTTTATCGGTACCAGGGATCGACCTCACGACTGGCTGCTTGCAATAAGATAAGTTTTAAGGACATTTTTTAGGTCTTGTCTGTGAGCAGAGGTGAATAAACAGTATTCTTTCTGGCCAAAGTTATTTAATCTTGCTCTGTGCCCTATAACCTTTCCTTAAGCCAAATCAAATAAAATTAAATGGCAAATAGAGTTTAAATAAAAAGATAAGGGGACAGAGCCTGTTGTAACTAGAACAAGACCAAATTCCAGAATTCTGAAAGGCCCCCAGGTCTCGGTCTTTAAAGATTGACTTGACCAAACCAAGGAAGCTGTGGCTTTGATGCCTGCAGTCCTGGCTTCAGCAGCCCTGGCTTTAGATGAAGCCCATCTGCAGTCTGAGGAGGGATCTGGCTGGGAGTGTATGAGTGGTTTTGCCCAGGGCAGCTCCAAAGGCCCTTCGTCATACATGTATGCTATTGGAGGGGTCAAGAGCAGAACTCTGAGGCACACTCAAAAGACCATTTTCACATGTGGTCCTGTACATTTGGGTGGGGGGAATAGGAATGATCCCATCTGTCATTTCTCAGCCAGTGGGGAAGACCAAGTCCAAAGCACAGATTACTATCCTTCAGTCTAACCGATGGAAAAGATAGTGCTGCAGCCACAAACACATCCCAGTCCCGTTCACACGGAACACTTGCAACTTGCCTTGGTGACATTTCCCTCCCCTGTGTATCAGACAGGATTTGACTTAATGTTTGATGATGGCTCATGTGCAGATGTAGCTGGGCCCTCCTCAAGGATAAGTGGACAGGCTCACCCCATCCTGACAGCAAAGGACGGCGTGGTTCCAGGAAAGAGCCATGGCAGCGCTTCCCTTAAGCCAAATTAAATCAAAAGCTGGTGTAAGGCCTACGGTGAAATATTATCTATTCTACTTTTCATACTGTCTGACCTCGTCCCTTATCCACAGGACTGCGACTAAACAAAGGCAGTTGTTCAAATAATTATATGCCCCATGTGAAGAGGCTAATCGTTTTAGTCTTGAAGTGTCAGTGAATCATAATCGAGGACTTTCGGTTTTGATTTGTAGCCTCATTTGAAAAGAGAAGGTCTGTTTGGCAGCTGACAGCACAAGGCTCCTGGGCTGGTTGATGGGTGTGTATCGCCCTCTAGTGGGCTCCAGTGCACTTGGCAGCTCACAGGAGGAAGTGGAGAATGAGCTGGGCCTCCCTTTCCGGGGCAGCCAGGAGAGAAACCACCTAGGCACTCCTGCTGCACACCCTCAGCTGTCTTCTACAGGTTTAGGAAAGCTAGGAAGTAAACAGATGAAAGTGGGGTAGACAGGACCTCTAATTAGACTCCGACTTCTCAGGGAAACGTTTTTACTGAAACAAAATGGATGTTTTTGTTTTATTCAATTTAAAAACTTTTATGCCCTGTGTGGTGGTGCATACCTGTGATCCCAGCACTCAGGAAGGTGAAGTAGGAGGATTTCTGCAAGTTCAAGGCCAGCCGTATGTACGCAGTGAGTTCAAAACCAGCCTGAACCACATAGTGAGACCTAGCCTCAGAAAACCAAAAAACAGCAGAAGTGAAAAAAACAAATGGAAAAGGTTATAGTGAAAATGATCTTTCAGGTACAAAAATAATGATGCTTAAAATAAAAGATATTAGATGAGCTTAGAAAAAGATGGAAACAAAAAATGCCCCCACATAGGAGACACACGGGATCCAAGAAACAGATCTAAACAGAGATTCAGTAGATTAAAATCTCCATGGAAAGTATATGCAACAGACTGAACAAAAGAAAGGTAGAATTTCATATCTTGAAGACAGAATTGTAGCTAGTGATCATGAAAAAGAAAGATATTTTTAAAATAGCAAGAGACCATGAGAAATCAATCCAACAGCTACAAGATGAAGTAAAGATTAACACAAAATTGGTTGGGGTCAATTAGAAAGCTAGAGACAGCACAAATGCCATAACAATCATAAATATATACACACCTAATACAGGAGGCATCCAAATATATAAGACAGTTATTGGTAGACATGGAAAATCAAATAAGTGATAACATAATTGTAACGGGAGACTTCAATACCACATTGTCACAGAGAGACAGATCAATTAGATAGAAAATCAGCAAAGAAATATCAGAGCTAAACCAAACCTGTGAACAAATGGACTTAGTAGGAAGAAGCCACACCCTGAGGCCCCACTGCCATCAGGGGAGCATTGGTGAACTACCACCACTTGCTTCTTCACCACCCCAGGAACCCCAGATTGGAGGAACCCAGGTTTCTAGTCCAACACACTACACTGAGAGACTGGCAGTCAGTGTAAAAGCTTCTGGGATGCAGCAATGGGCTGATTCAGAGGAACACAGGGAAATTTGAAGATAAAGAGCAAAAGGCAATCTCAGACTTCCAGCCCACACAGAACAAGTGCAGGAGACACAGACAGAGTAGAAATTAGAAGTCATACACCTGGAATGATAGCCATTGTTAATATACTATTACTTTGTTTTGAAATCCTGTATTTTCTTTTGTTTGGTTTTATTGTTTCATTTTGTTTGTTTTATTATGTCTGATGGTCTGGGCAGCTACTTGGAAGATAACAAGATACATTACGAGCCATTGTTGATTTCCTATTATCTTGTTCTGAAGTTCTGTATCACTTTCATCATTTTGTTTTAATTGGCTTTATTCTGTTTTATTCTCTTTTAAAAATACATATTTAGTGTTTTTTTTGTTTTCTTTTGGTTTGGGCTAGGTTTTTTTGAAACAGTCTTGCTGTTTAGCTCAGCCTGGTCTTGAGCTACATAGTCCAGGCTGACCTTGCATACATAGCAATCCTTCTCCCTCTGCCTCTCGAGTGCTGGGATTCTAAGGCATGCATTACCATAGCTGGATGTGTTTAGTTATTTATTTAGAGGCAAGTTTTCCCTCTGTTGTCCTAGCTGGCCCTGAGGTCCTAGGCTCAAGCAATCTTCCCACCACTTGGCTGGGATTACAGGCATGAGCCATGCCACTCAACTATAATAGATGACTTTATTAGCCAAGAAATGGTGCTTGCTCTGGTAATTTACTTTAATGGCTTTAAGAACATTCCACTCTGTTTTATTTGAAGCAAGCAAACACCCTTATTGTGTTTAAACACCTAATTCATGAAAAAGGAATACTTTTAAATATCAGGATTTAGAGAAATGCTTTTGACTCAAGAGACCGATAGGCACGAGCAAGAGCCTTCACCTGCATTTGTACAAATAGCTCCTTCTCAGGGTGAATGTGCAAGTGCTCCTGGCAGCTGGAGTGAGTTGACATGTACCTGGTGGCAGGACCTATCTCCCTCCCCAGTCAGCTCTCTAAAACACTATTCTGATTGATGTTCTATCTTGTTTAGGGCTTGAGTCCATAAATTCCGCCTTCCAATACCCCCGGGGGACATCGGGGTGTTAAAAAAATGGGCTGCTACTAGCCCATTAGCTTATTTTTATTCTTTAAATCACAAGGGAAGGCCCTTGGGTGGAAAGACTGGGAAGACTAGGAAAGACAGGGAAACATCCAGGGCTGCTTTCATACTCTGGGTGAATCTGATTGAGGGGACTCTGGCACTGTGTCCATTTCTCTCCCAGGTGAAGACCCTGAGAGCTCTGAGGCTGCTCTCAGCTTCCACTGCTGATTTCCCTCCGAGGTATGGGGCCCCACAGTCACTATCACTACTGTGCTGCAGACACATCCACCAGGCCATGATTGTGCTCCACAATCACCCAGTACCCAGTGCTACACCAGCTGGTGGATAGAAGCAGGCCTGGCTTCTAACCAGTTCACTGTAAGTGGCATAAGAAGCCAAGTGACTCATTTCTTCATTAAGTCCTCTGCTTTTTATGCCGATGTAGGCCACATACCACTCCATCAACCTTACTGAGTGTCCCTGTACACCAGGTCCAGGACCAGCTGCTGTAGACAGAAATGGGGGACATTTTCCTTCAGACAATGTGGCTAAGTCACAAGGTAGAAAACAAGAGGCCTGCAGAGAGCCAGGTCCTGAGTCCAGTCGACTACCTGTACCACACTGGTACCACAAGATGTACCAGTGTGTAGGGCAAGGGTGGGGGTGCAGGGCCAGAGAGGCCTCAGCGGTTGCACTTGAGCTGGGCAAAGTGCGCGGAGCCTGACCGCTCCGGACGCCTTTCACTCATCCAGGTCAGTCAAGGCTTGCCTCCCTCTGCCCCCTGCTCCCTCATCCCACTCGACATTTGGGGGCACTGTGGACCTCAGGACAAGCAGGAGGGCATGTGGGCCGTGGGTTACCCAGATGGTGTGCAGGACAGGTGGAAAAGCAGCCTAAGGGGCTAGGTGAATATCTCTTCCTCTGAGGGTGGCATAAATCAAGGCAAGTTCCTCCGAATTAGGAAGGTCTGAGCAGTCACGTTCCCTCACTAAAGGAGGGCCAAAGGGCGAGGGTGCTGAGGGGAGAAAGGTGGCACACTGCACGCTTCAGCATTGCATGGGGTGGTCATATCCAGTGGTGGTGGTGCAGGAAATGGTCAAAAGGTGTGGCAGTAGATCCCTGCTTGAGGAGGTGCTTTTGGCACAGCAACTACCCCTTACCAGTTAACAGCTACTTTGGTAACACAGCATGCTCTGCACAGTAGTCCCATCCTAGGGCTCACCTGGCTTGGCAACATGGTTCTCATTCTCCAGTGAGAAAACAGAGACCAAGGAAGGACAGAGCTTGGCCAATGCAAGGGCCAGGAAAGGGCCAGTGCCAGAGGCCGTTTCAGCTGCTGGCTCGCAGGGCTCTGATTTTCATGCATCTGGCATTTCCAGCAAGGCAAAGCCATCGGGCGCTGGGGGAAGAGCAGCCACCTCCTAACCGTGAGTACAGCTGACACATGATCTCAAGAGGCTAGGCAGACAGGTATAGGCATTTTCTGGGGACACAGAAATCCTTGTGAAGAGAGCCTCTCTTCCTGAAGGGCAGCTCTCTCTGCACACAGACCTACCTGCAGTGGCCATTGCGAAGGGACCACACCTGCCCCACCCATGGCAGGCTCTCCTGGAGTGGGTCCCACAGGAGGACACCTGTCAGTTCACCATTCTTATCCACAGGAGTCCTGCCTAAAGAGCTCTATCTGAATTAAAATGTGATGCACATGGACCCTGGAGCTGTGCGGCAGGAAACCCCTCATGGCCATCTCTGCCAGGGTGTCTACTGCTGGACTACAGTGCAGTTGGTGACTCCTGACCCCAGCTAGGCCAAGGGAAGGAGCAAGGCGGGACACTTCTCTGAGGCCTGTTCTCAGCAGAAAGCCCAGCCATGGCTCCAAGTGGTTCAGATGAGATTTCAGAGTGGGGAGGCAGGGAGGTGGGAGACATTCACTCCCTGCAGGGTTGCCAGGGCACGAAGAAGGACCACAGGTCCCTAGCTGTCTTCCACCGATCTGTGTCCCTGCCTGAACCTCACAGAGGTATAGGCTGGCAAGGGAGCAGCATGTCATGTTGTTGCTAAGGATGCCAGCATTGCATTCACTTAGTTTGTGACGAGCTGGACTAGAACTTGAACCCAGCCCTGCTAACCCCAGTTGAGGGCCTCGGCCAGCAACACGCAGCCAACCGAGAAGATGCATCCAGTGGAGCATTCACGTGTGACTGAGAAGGCACACATCCTGAGGAATGTCTGGTTGTCTTGAGAGCCTGTTTTTGTATCTTGGGGGGATACACGGATGCACTGACCAGTAAACAATGTGTCTTGACACAGGGAGCCTCATGCCCCGGGAGGCACTTACCCCTTCCATGGGTGCAATGAGCAGGTCATACAGAGCACGGAGTGGGGGCTTGGCAAAGGAGCTCTGCCTCCGGGGCAGAGATGAAGTGCCGTCCTTGATGGGTGACATGGTGTTACTGAACAAGCTCGTCATGCTCTGGCAGCTCCTGTGGAGAGAAGGGGTGAGAGATGAACCAGGCCCATGTGGCAGGTGGGGTCACCAGCCTCCCTCCCAGCCATGGCACCTCTCTTCCCTTCCAGGTGGTTTTCATGTAACAGTGAGCACTCTAAGACACTGTGGCACACGCCAGCTGCACACAATAGTTTCCATTTCTGTGGGATTTTCCTCACATTATCAATGTCCCAAAGTGCTGTTCAGAGGATTTAATTACATGCTGTGTGGCACAATTGTGCACAGGCAAACGTGAGGACCATAAGGAATCAGAGGAACCAGGCTGAAAAGGGCAGCACCCCACTGCTGGCTCCAGCATGCACTCAGACCAGCCCCTGGACAGTCCCTGCCTAAGCCCTGCCATGGCGCAGCTCTGCAGCCTTGGCGGGTAGGAATGCTGGGAGCTGCAGAAAGGCTTGTTCAAGTGTGGCTGCAGAGTTTGTCTGTGATTTTCAATTTCTGTTGCAATGTCTCCAGACACTTAATACCCCACTTGTCACACTCTTGATACAGGATGAGGGCACACACTGATTGGTTTAGAAATGCTTTCTAAGTACCAGCTGTCTGCCAGGCACTGCTGCAGTCTCAGGGGATCTGCAGAGGACAGGGCACATAGGAAAGCAAGAGAGGAGTGGCACCAGGGAACCAAGCCTGTTCCCAACACAGACGGGACTTCCTTATGCCCTTTCAGAAGCTGCCTCTGCCTCTGCCTGGCCCATGTGGTTCTCGCATAACCATCCCGTGGCTTTCTCTGTATACCTGCTGGGTAGCAGTGATCTGTCAGCCTTGATCTAGACATTGCTTTACAGTTCCTGCTACCTTTGCAGGGCCCTTCAGGACAGTGACCATGGTGTATAACAGATACACCACAAGGCTTCAGCAGGTACTCTGGCTGCTGGCTGTGACAGTAATTCAGCTACTGCTCAATAACAAAGCACAGGTGGCTTTCTCATTAGCCAGGCCAGAATCTGTGACATTCCAGAAGACAGTACAGAAGTTCCATCTACGTTTCCAAGGTTTGGCTTCAAGCCTGCCCCTCCTTCCCTTCTCAGGGATCTCTGCACTTTTCCACTTGATCTGAGTTCTATGACCACAGCAAGCTAAGCTCTGAGCACCCTCCGGCCTCCACCCCTCTGCATACTCCCCAAAGACCAGAGCTGAACAGCAGGATGCAAGAGCCTGGGGAGCAGCTCATGCCTGCCTACTCACTCAGGAAACATAATTACCAGCAACTGGGGCAGTGGGCCGGCCTTGCCGTCAGAGCCAGTGAAGCACAGAAAGCCCTGGAGTGACCCCCAGGCTCACATAGTACCAAGGAACACACTGCAAAGAGCAGTTCTCCCCTGAAGGGGAGATTACCAAACTGCTCTCCAGAGACACTCCGGAGTGACAGGTGGTGTCTGTCATGGCACTGGGTGTTACTACACACATGTGCACTCAGAGACTACAGGAGGATGGTAGCTGGACACTTGGTGTCTCATACCTTTGGTGTTGTCTGTCTGGACTGTGGGCTCACACTGTCTGACCTGAGGCACCAACCCCTCCACCCACCCACCCCTCCCTGCCCAAGCCTCCCAACGGTGGAGCTGCTGAAGGAAATGTGGGGCTGTGTAGGGAAAGGGGACTAGAGCTTGACCAGGGTCAGACAGGATGATGTGGAGGGGAGTGATGAGATGCAAGCAGGGGGCTCTGTGAGCATGTGACTATCCTCTGGTCCCCTCTGCATCTGAAGAAAGCTGTACTGCTGCCCTTTAGGGAATGTAAGGACTGGAAGGACTGTTACAAAGCTTGTAGACCAGTAAAGGCCGATGGTGGGCCAGGCTGGGGCTCCTGGCAGTGGGGTTGGTGAGACAGGATTAGATATTGATGGCAGTGGTGTCTATGGATCAAACAATGGTATGCCATTGGCATCTAAAGTGCTGACCCTCCCCTCTACCCCCACATTACTGCCACCATGTGTATGTTGGCTCCCACCTGGCTCAGGTGTGTGACTGTAGCTGCTGGGTAAACTGGACTGGGGTGGCTTTTGGGGAGAGCATCATGTGATCTGGGGTGAGATTTGGGGAAGATTTGGAGCCAGCCTGCCTGGTGGACTAGGAGGAAGAGGTCATTCCAAACAGAAGGACAACACAGGAAAGGTACAACACTGGGAAATGGAGACCTGGCTGTTAGGTGATGTGTGCAAGGCATGAGGGGAAGGAGTGGAGCACCCGCTAGAGAAGCAAGGGCTTGGGTGGGAGGGCCCTGGTCACCCTGTGGAGAGCAGGCCATTTGCGTCTTTCAGCCATCACTTCCTTCCCACAGCATGAGCAGAAGGATGCCAGCTGCATCTGCAGTCCTTCCTAAGGACCCTACCCTTATCCCCAGTGCTGGCTTGGCACAGCAGCTACAGTTGGGCCACCCGCAGCCCTTTTCATCAGCTGGGTTCAACAGGGAGGCTGGTCAGCTGTCTCCAGGCAGGGCTGGTGACTCATGGCACACTGTGAATCTGCAGAGATTTCCCTGGCACCTTTGGGCATGTGAGTGTCTGTTTTTAGGTGGTGCCCGTTCTTTGTGAATCACGCCCTGTGGGGTGGGCAGGTCCCCCAAGCTCATCAGCAGAGGCCCTGTGTCTAAGTCTCCACAGAGCCACCTGCCTGGTGGCTGGTGGACCTGGCCCCACTCTCTTGCAGTCTGTCAGGCCTGCCCTGCCCCATGTACACAAGGTGATCTTAGACCCTGAAAGTTGCACTGAGAGCTGGCCCTTGGTTACCTACCCTGGCCCCTGCCACAGCCTTGCAGCTCCCAGACCAATGACCTCTGGAGCCATAGTTCCTGCCTTTTTATGATGGTCAGGCAGGAAGCCCAAGAGACAGCCCTGGACCTGCATCACTATCCCTTGGAGGGCACTTATCCCTAGAGAGGATCCTTTCAAGTAAAAACAAAAGGACAGAAACAGTAGGATGGTGACTAAGAAAGCAAAACACAACTAACCTAAAACCATAATGTGAGTTCCAAGTAAGTCCATTCAAGACCGTTCTCTCTCAACAGAAGGTCTCTGTTACTGCCCCCAGACAGCAGCTTTCTTGCTTGCCTCTGTCCCTAGGGAAGCCTGGAACATCACAGCATCAGCTCCTCAACCACAGTCACCTCTTAATTTTCCATGTTAGCTGCCCTGGTGTCACACACCAGGGCAGCAGCAGGAGCTACTCTGCACTGGAAAGCTGTCCCGGGAGCCACAGGCCCAGGAACAGAGAAGGGGACAGGGAACCAAGAGCAAGAGTGACCAACAGCCCCTGGACTCTGAAGGCCCTCTGGGTACACAAGTGTGGAGAGGATCTTACGCTGGGACCCAGAAGCAGAGCAAACCTTTTCCAGCTGCACCAGGGGCTAGGGGTTTCTTTACCTGTGAATTACTGCTGCCCTCTCTTGACCACTACAGTTACAGTGGCCCACTGTACTGCTGCTATACTGGTTGCACTGGACAGAGATCTGCAAGAAGAGATGTTCATAAGGATTCAAATAGCCCAAGTCAGTCCTTAGGCCAGGGTCTGGATGTTTAAGAGGACAAGTGGGACTACTAGGGGCCTGGTATGTCACCAAGGCCCACCTCTTCTCTACCCTTTCCTCACTTGCTTCTTCCAAGCAAGGAAAACCTGGGCTCCTGCCGGCCATGGGGAGTGTGTGCCACCCTTGAACCTTGGCCTGTGCTGCTGCATGCTTCCTGCATGGCTCCCACCAGCCTGGAAGAAGCCACACCAATAGCTGCTGCCCTCGGTGACCCTCCCCATCTCCTAGACCAAGTACTTGATCTGCGGCTCCCACTCCTCCTCCTAGAACCTTAAACTGCAGTGGATTAACCAGCTGAGTTGAAGGGAGACGCAGTGACCTCTCACCCAAACAGATGATCCCAGCAGGCTCCAATCACTATTCTCCTGTGCTTCTTCTGGCATTTGTCCTACAATTTTAACAACCAGTTGAAGTTACAGCTTCACTAAGTAGAATAGGACCAAACAAGAATGAAACAGAATGAAACCCACTCAGAACAAAACCATGAAAGTGATATAAGACTGCAAAACAAGATAGCACCCCACGGACACCCCTCAGCCCAGGACCACGTACATCACTGCACCGTGCTTCCTACGTGCCCCGTGGATGCCGGGACTGAGCCACCAGCCCACCCCTTGGCCCAGGACCGTGTATGCTGCTGTGCTGCACTTCTTGTATGCCCCGCAGACACCTGGACTGATGCCACTGGCCTGTACCTTGGCCCAGGAACACCTATACTGCTGTGCTGCACTTCCTGCGCACCCAGAGGACACCTGAACCCAGGACATCTGCTGGACCCTTGGGGACACTCCCTACCTCCTGGACCTAATACTGCTGTTGATCTTCAGCTCCTACCCTTTCTCCCAGAACCTTGGTCTACAGCAGATTCACTGTCCTAGCTCAAAGGGAGATTCAGTAACTGCCTCACCCAAACAGAAGATCTCAGCAGGCTCCAGTTATGGTGGTGAGTATGCCCCTAAAATAGAGGTGTACAGTGGGTAAATAGGGCCAGTAATAAAGCTCCTTCCAACTAACTGTAAGACCTAGGTGAGTCTGGCAAGAGTGTGGGTGACCCATTTCTACATACAGAAAACATCAGGCAGGGTGAGGAGTATGCCAGTAAGGACTCCCCCAACTTGGAGAAAATCAAAAGGGCTTATGAGACACACGGGCACACAATAGTGACACAGTAGGGCCTCAGCCGACACAAACACTACAGACAGGGAGACCTGGTGACCTGGAATGACTCTTTATGAGTCATTATCTTATCTTTACCTGAAGATAAAGTAATAGCAGGAACTAAAAGTTGACCTACATCAACACTACTAGGCTTGTCAGCCCAGGAAGAATATAGGACTCACCCAACAGGCCCCCAGTGGGAAGTCAGGTGACATGCCCATCTCTTCATTGAGGGACCCAGAAACTGGACAAACATCAACCTTGCATTAGGACTCCAAGATACACACT